AGCTCCTGCCGTTCGCGCGGTAGATGCGGACGGTGAAGCGGCGCGTGTCCGCGCCCGTGCGGTCGAAGAGGCGCACCAGGACGACGGGGTCCCCGGGGCGGTACTCCTCGTTGTCGTGCGTCCGCGTCGCGCGGTCGTCCGCGACGACGTAGCCCTTCCCGCCGCTCCCGCGCTGCTCCATGACGCGCGCGAGCAAAAAGGCGTGCGTGCTGCCGCCGCCCTCGCGCTGCGGGCGCCAGTAGTCGCCCGTCTCCAGCGCCACGAAGTCGCCGACGTTCAGCGACTCCGCGAGCGTCCACCGACGGCCCCCAACTAAGGGCTGCCCCGCGGCGGCAACGACGACGGGCTGCCCGTAGAACCGGCCACGTTCGCGGCGCACCTTCGGCTGTGCGCGAAGAAGTAGAGAGTGCGCGCCATGGTCCAAAACCCATGATCAGCAGACCATGCAAACGACGCTATCGACACCGATGTCGATTTCGAGCGGCTGTATCTGGGCTGAAATGCGCCAATTGCGCATTTCAGGCGAGGCGCTGATTGGCTACGCAATGGTTCCAGCGCTTCGCTCCGCTGGAGGCGGCCAGGACCGTCCCCCGCGGGCGCGCCCCCGCGCCACCCACGTCCCAGGGGGGCCTGGGACACGTCCGGCCAGGCGCCGGGGCCGAAGACGTCAACCCTGAATTAACCGGAGTTTGCAGGGGGAGTCGACCGCGACCCTAGCCGACTTCGGCGGAGGACTCCCGGGACGTCTCCTTGGGGATTCCGCGCTTAAAACCCGAGGCGGTGGCGTCGAACGGCGACGCGCGGGAGGCGTCAAAATGAGCAAAATTTATTACCACAGCGGCCAACTTGAACCTCTTTTGCTCAGGCCCCGCGGGGCTCGGAGAGCTCGGTCGTCGCAGGCCCAGCCAGGCCATAATCAGCGGGATACTCTATGTCGCTTTGCACGTGGGTTAACGCCCCGCCGAGGCGCCGCGGCGTAGACGCGCCCCGCCCTTGGGCCCAACAAATAATGAGCAACCAACATCCTAACTAGGATTACATGCTCTTGCGATGCTCTCCCCCTTCCGTGTCTTCGTACATTATAATAACCTCGCTGACAATTTGTCTGTGCGGTACCGTGTCTGAGTCTAGAAAGAGCGGAAGAAGGCCGCTGCAAATTCTGCCAATTGATACGTAACCTGCCCCTATGGTGAGAATCCCTCTGTTCATTACGGTGCAGATTTTCTTTGGTTTGAAGAAAATCCATTGGTCTATCATTCCGTTTCATTGCCCAATTCTCAACCAAGTACCGTGGAGAAATAAAGCACGAGGCCCGGGAAATGAGGGGGCTCTCCTTCTTTTGCTTCTTATCCCAAAGTACCGAGATCCCCCCTCCCTGGCGTTATCGCCAGTAAGCCAGTCCACGTAACACCCGCAGCTGCCCCTGCGAGATGCTCTCACATTCCTCTAACGAAGGAAAAGACTCCCCTAGGTGTGGCCCGGTTGGCCCCTGATCTAGGATGGGTTCTTTTCCTATTCTCCCGACCTCCCCCCCCCTCCTCGCTTTTTAATCCACGTTAAACCGTGTGGAGTAAGCCTTTTAATCCACGTTAAGCCGTGTGGAGTAACCCTCTCCTGTTTGGAATAAGGGCTGCATAGCAGCCCCGTCCCGCTCTCCTGCTTCAGTCCAAGCCAGGCACACTGTCATTTCCCCCTCCAGCCGGGGCTGGGATTGCCACCCGCAAAATTCGACACATGGGAACGATGCCAAACGCACAGCAAACTCCGTGCGTGCCCTAGGTACAGAATATGTGTGGTTTGCAGCTATTCGCCCGTTCCGGCAAGTGCATCCACATCCCAAGGCCGCATACTGCATGCGCTCAAAGGCGGAATCATCGACAAGGAGTAGGTGTAAGACTATGGCAAAGTGAGACAAAAAATATTTCGCTTAGGCTGCCAAGCTTGCCAAGAAAGACATACATTTACCATTCCAAGTTGTTCGTGCAGTGTTTCCGGAGCCGGGTCCGTTACCAAACTCAGCAGGGGCTCTCAGGCTTGCCGGAAAGCCCCCTGGCCGGCGTATCAAAGGGTATACTCGCGCACAGCCTCGTAGTCGAATTCAGCACGTGTGATTGTGCTCCTACTCGGTTGCGATGAGCAGACCTGCATATACCCACGGAGTATAATTTGAATCAAAATCTATACAAAACCTGCGAATTCTGAGTTATCACCTTCAAAAGGAGATATCTCATTCTGGAAGAAGCCCGCAAAATCAGGCTTAGCTTCCAGGACCTTATTCGGTGGGACGGGTGGTGGCTTCATGGTCTCTGCACGAAACTGATCCCATCGAAAGTTGTCAAAGTACTGGTGCTCAGTGATCTCGCCGAGGTTCCCCGAACCCGCGAGGCGAGTTTCCTTGTTGCAGATGAGCCCCCGAAGGAAGCTGGCAGCAGACTCATCCGTCTGACTGAGATCGTCCTTCATATTTGAGGGCAGCTTTCCACTGGCGGCATCGCAGATCCTTGTGAATGTTGTCTTTAGGTCGTTGGTCACGAATGGTGAGGCTGCAAACAGCATCTCATATAGCACACAACCAAAAGCCCACCAGTCCACACGTTGATCATAGCCCCGCGAGAAGATGAATTCGGGGGCAAGGAACTCAGGCGTGCCACACATGGTAAATGCCAACGTGCAAACACTGCGCGTGCCATCGCCGAGGTCAACACTGTAAGGTAGCTCCTTGGATAGACCAAAATCACCAAGCTTGACACGACCGTTAGCAAAAACCAGACAATTCTCAGGTTTGACATCGCGGTGGACAAATTTGGCCTGGTGACAATGAGCAATACCCAAGCAGAGACACGCCGTGTAGTACCGTGCATTGATGTATGGGATGATGTTGAGATTGATCATGTGTTCCATTAAGTCGCCACATTCGGCAACTTCCGTCAGAATGTAAATGAAATTCTCGTCCATATATGTCGCATGAAGGCGCAGACAGAAAGGTGACTGGGCGACACGTTCTAGAAGATGTTTCTCCGTCACAACCTTGCGAGCAAGTGCATTTTTCACAACCGACGACTTATCCATAGTCTTCATCGCGAAGAAGGACCTAAGCGATGACACTAGGCTAATTTACCTCGCTCTCCCAGCCACAAGGGCACAACCGACAAACATAAGGTTGGACTCAGATTCAAACCCGGTTGATGCATCTTTAGTGAGGGTCACAGTTGAAAATCCTCCTTCCCCCAGGCGACATATTGCTTCAAGAGTGTCAAGTCGAATTGTGCACTGGACTTTTTCGATTGGCAAAATACGTTGGTAAGGTTCCACCTTTCTCGTGTTTATGTCGGCCAAGGATGCGCGGTGTCGGATGTCCATTGCCATGAATTCTTCCCACGCTGTTTTATCGAGCGTCCAGAGCACGGGCTCACCTGCATCCTTTGGCCCGGCGACGACCCGAGCCTCGGCTGTGCGCTCGGTGCCATAAATGACAGAGAGCTCGCCAAAGAGCACAGGTGCCTTGAGTGTCCGCTTGTGATCACCATTAATGAAGAATGCGACCGCGCCTAGGAAGGGAAGAGGTCCTAGTGCAAGTCAATTAGCGCACAGTGGAAAAAATACACTTGCAGCTAGCGTTAGCTCCCACTCGAGCATCTTACCAGCAGTCATAATGTAGAGCTTACTTATATCCGGGCTTCCCTGGTTTATGATAATATGACCAACTGCGACATCTACGTGCCGTGTGAGACGTTGCATTGCGTAGTCCTTCGCAGCGTCCGTAAGAGCAGGGAGCTTAAATTGGCGTGTTATCATGTTAAAGAGCTCTGCCGCTGCCAGTGTTCGATGTGGATCCACAAGTTGTGCTGCCGTGAGATCTACGTCAGACTGAGTCTCTCCCTTGGCAAGACGCATCCGTCCCTTCACGGCCTCCATCAGTCCAGTGGAATAGACGTTATCATGGTGCACATGTCCCGCCTTCAAGTGGTCGGTGACAACCTTTCTCGCATTACCCGTGCTAAATCTTCTGCCTCTCTCCCGTTCGCCTCTCTGCGGGGATGGGAGACGCCGGCCGTGGGCTGGACTTTCCCTTGATACCCGCCGCAGCGACTCTTTGATTGATTCCATTTCCTCCTTGGATCCCCATCGCTCTTGCTCAAAATGCCTTGGAGGCATTGTCCACCGTCTTGCGTCCACTGGAGACCCGGGCGACCCGCTATCCGACGCTCCCCGACCGAAGTCTTGTAACGAGGTCTCACTTTGCAGTGGACTGCCATGCTTCAATTGCGGCGGCCGCTCTCCACCAAGGTTTCTACTCGAGGCGCTAATGTCGACACTGCCAGTTGCCACCGGTCCTTCATTTTTGTCTNTTGCCGCGCCGGCCTTCTGCCCTGACGCGCCCCATCACAGTATGGCTTTCAGGTATGATCGCTCGATGGATCGACAACAGTACCATTGACGCGGCGCCGCGGCTCGGGAGTGGATATTAAGGAATGATACAAGATAGAAGGATAATAATAATAGTTGGATTAGGAGCTGGGCGTGCCTTCAACATGGGCTCCACCCAGCTCGGGGACTTGCCTAGTCTAGGACCCCCCAGGAAAAGAATAAGGCAGGCTGGATAGGAGCAGATCTTCCTGGGTGCGCTCCAGGCGCACAATAATAGAAGAGGATGTCCTAGTAACCAGGCCCGGGGACGCCTCGGAGCTTTGACTTGTTGATACCGACCTTTTCAGCTGTTTTGAGTTTCGATTTATCGTTTACAAAGAAAGCCGGCTCTCCAAAAGGTAGTATCCTCAGGTCTCTTATCTCCTTGTTGTGTGCTCTTAGGGAGAAATACCCCAAACTAGGGTAATAAGGAACGTTGATATCAACGTTACGGGGGAGTGCAGTGTCATCTCCATAGTGTGACGTCGCGATAATGAGGGGGCAGGGTAATGTAAATTATGAGGATGATGGTAGATCACGAAAGTGCACATACAGAAGCGCATTCAGCAAATGAGATAAATGACTGGCTTACTTTCGGCTCGAATTCTCAGTATACTGAAGAAGTTCCGGATTTTCAGTTGGGGGGCTCGCCGATGTAAGTGGCGATGACCCCTATAAAAAATGAACTTCCTGGGGGATCATCCGAGTCGCTTCACGTTATACTTGCGCAATCATGATATACTCTCTGGCACATCGCTAGTGGTTGTTTAGTGAGACTCTTAGCTGCGGCGAATTCCACCGGCTTTAGTTGGCTCTTTCTAGCGCCCTTGTAAAGAATCCAAGTCCCCTCTGTGTGTTACTTACACCTTATGAGTTGGTCGATTATCCCGCCGCACCGCTGTTGCGGCTGCTCATGCTGAGCGTCCTAACAGAAACAACCGCAATTGGGGTTTATGTTTACATCACCCCACACCACGGCACAGGCCATGGCACTTTTCGTTGTGCTACACTTCGGACTTCGGAAGATGCAGCATTGCAGCCGAAAATGGCACAAGGCGCTGGAACATGCTCGCCTCGTCGATACCTGCCCAGCGCAGCACTATGCTTCGGTCCTCGCACTTTTTTTTTTAAGCTTCCTTTTGTCTTGTGCTATCAAAATTTGGGAAGATGCCTTTTTGACTTTGTCACGGGTCAACTCATCGTCTAGCTCCCCGTTCAGAAGGTCATCATTATCTTTGAGTGCGCCATCGTCCTCCCAATCTTCGTCGAGTAATGGAAGGTCAATCCTTTGGTTGTAAGGGCGAGTGCGGAGCAGTTCCATTTCATCCACATCGTTGCTTTCATCTTCAGCCAGGCCTTCCACAGTTCGATTAACCATGGTGTCATCATCAACGGCGACACGTATCCTTGCAAGCAGCTCAACCATCATTTTCTCATTCTCAGACATGACGCGAACTGTCGTCTCGTCCGTCAGCTGGAGCTGCTTGCCGCCAACTTCCTCACGAACACCTTCTAGCTTATCTTGGAGGTGCTTCACACCTGCCTTCACAGCGATAAGCATTTTTGCTAGTCGCTCGTACTTCGTACGACATCGCTCGAGCCTCGCAACCGCGGCTGCAAGCTGCTCCTCGTGATCATCAACCATTTTGCGCCGGTGCCCCCCGCCTGGACCAGAGTACTTTACTTCTTCAACATGAACTTTAATCCTCGACTTTTGTTCATTTAGGGCCTCAATCTTTTGTTGGTTCTCCTTAGTCAGGCTCATGAGGTTTTCTGTAGTACTCTCCTGGGAAACTATCTTCTGAATCACCTCATTTACGTCAGACACCCCTACAAATCCCAGCTCAAGATACAACCAAAATAAGTAAGCACATGTACCTGTCGCCTCCTTTATCTTACGGAATGCGGCTTCGAAAATATCTATTTTGGTTCGTTGCTCCATGCGTTCCTTTGAAAGGGTTGATTGCATCGAGGCGTTAGTCAAGGCAACCTTGAGCTCTTGTTCGCCGCCTGGACCAAGTTCCCCTGCTTCCTGGGCAGCAATCTCTTGGCGCATCTTTTCACGTTTTTGAATACGCTCTAAGGTTTGCTTTCGGAGCTGAACCATTTGATGTCGCTCGCGAAGCTCTAAGTCTCGCCGGCGCCGTTCTTCCTCATAGCCCCCTCGAACATGTTCTAGTTCCGACTGTGCAACCTCTCGAGCGTGGTTTGCATCGCCCGAGAGCAGCAAGAGTTCTTCGTAGTCTCGCTGCTTGGCCGCGAATGTGCGCTCGAGCGCTGCCAACTGGTGATCAAAGCCAATTCGCTCTTCACGAAGCCGTTTCACTATCTGTTCATATGTTTTTTTGATGGACTGCGTAAAAAATCGTCACGCTAGATGCAGCAAAGATCGTGTGTATTTACCTGGGCTTCGTTGAACTTAATCAGAGCCTTGTCCAATCGGTTTTCAAGCATGCGAATATTACGGGTGACCGGAGAGTCTTCTAAATTGGGTTTTTTAGACTGAAGCTCCAAATCTCTGACACCGTCTTTCAAATTTTCGAGCAGCTGATTCTTTATCATTGCTTGCTCCCGCAACGTATCAAATTGTTTCCGGGCCTTCAACAAATCCACCTCAAGGTTTCCGCTTGTCGGGCCCTCCGAGCCTGCGCCACGCTGCATTATTGAGAGCTTGATCCTCACCTCTTTGTTTTCTTCCCGTAAACCTATTGATCAATGAGCTTACGAGTATCGGTTACATGGCACCAACGTTTGATTTCCTCCTTGTTTGCAGACTTGTTTGCCTCTAAAATATCCACGTTTGCGCGCCTGTCACCTGGGTCGAAATGCGCTGTTGCATTTAGTCTTTGAGTGAGTTTCGCCAACCTTGAAGTAGTCGCATGCGCTCCCGAAGATCATCGACCTGTTCCGCCACATTTCCACCAACGTCTTTTTGCGCTCTCACTGCCGCGACCATGGGCGTTGAGCTCCCGAGTCGAGATGAGCGCAGGTGGATACAATAGTAATTTATCAGCCAAGAAACTCAGCATCTCGTGCATGGTGCACGCTATCTCAGAGGAACATTGGTACTTGCTAATATGTTATTATGGAGGGATGATGCAAGGTATAGGAGCGTAGTTGGATTGGGAGCTGGGTGCGCCTTCAACGCGGGCTCTAACACCTAGCGACAATTGGAGAGTAGACAGAGGGACTTACGGCGGGGCAGCTATGGCAGGGCCAGAAAGTACCAAGGGGGGGAGGAAGGTCTAAAGGCGGCCCTGTACGAGCGAGCCGCTGAATAGGCAAGACCCCCCCCGCCTCCAAAAATCTCTCTATTTCTGTAAAGAGGGCGCTGGCCTCTTTCTATATCTTGTATCATTCCTTACCCACCTTCGCGCAGTTTGCTCCCAAACGTGTGTAACGCTAGGTCCGATGCACAAGCTCACGAACATGGAGGTGCGTGCGCTTTGATGCTGGCGGGCTCACACCTGATCCTCAGGCTCAGCGTGTCATCGCGGTCCTGGAAGACGCCGTTGAACGACTCGATTTCATTTCGCTCATCCCTACTACGCCAGATCCGGAATTACTCGATCGGATCACAGGAATTGGTGACGTACCGCTAAAAAACGCGACCCAACAGCAATGGCAAGTCGAAGAGAGCCAACTGGTCATGGCAGTTGGTCACAGCCCAAATTCAGCAAAGACTAGCCGTGAAGATATTTCGGAGCAGCTGAACCATGTGACCCGAGCCCTTTGTCGGCACCTCAAAAGAAACAAAGACGCCCGCTCTATTTTTAAAAGGAACGCGTCTGCTGCTCGAAGTCCACATCTGGTGAACTGTCAACAGTGAGAATGGTCTTGAATTCACTTTCGAGAAAATTCGAGCATGGGACAGGTACCTCTCTGATTTGACAGCTGTTATGTTTCGACGACTCTCTACCACAGTATGCGCATATTTAGCTCCTCGCATTGGGAGCGGAAGCGTCTGCGTACATGCTTATGCGGGAGCTTGATCAATATCAGGTCGAAGAGGAGACCACAAACGCTCACATGCTGTCTACAAGCAGTGTTGTCATCCAGTTGCGAAGAAATTTATGTGCCCAGGCAAGATCTCACGGAAAAAGAACGAACCGCGGCAGAGGAAGCATCTGTGATATTGTTCTTTAAACACAGCGGCTGAGACCTGTTCACCCAGGCACTACAGCAAACACTAGAGACACAGCGAGCTGAACGTGACCGAGAAGTTCCCACTGAGCATGAGATTGATATATTTTGAACGTGCAGAATCTATGAGCACAGGTATCAGCGCACGATCAAACTCTAACCAAGCTTCGTGCGGAGCTGCAGGACATTACCCAGACCAACCAAACTAAAATGGATGGTGTCCGCGCACAAATGGACGATCAGATCACCAAGTCCTCACGAAACTAGCGCAATTTACCTGACGTTCAACATTGTCTCATGTGACTTAGGTCCGAGGACGACCATGCGATTGCGTCGGAGCAGCTTCTCGAGAAGCTCAATTCACTTGAAGCCAATATTGAGACAGATAGCCAGACAAATCGTGAGATTGAGGTGGGCAAACTCGTCCTGAATCCAGCAGGAAATGGAAAATAGGCAACCCTGAGGAAGAAAAAAGAGCGAATTGAAGCTGATCTTTCTGCCCAGGTAGTCTCGACATTTGCCTGTTTCGAAATGCTTTTTTCAAGGTTCTAAAGTACGACGAGAACATGGCTGAAATGCTTCGCCAGACAGAAGAGATTAAAGAAAAAATGATTGCCGAAAAGGAGAATCTGCGAGAGCTTGAAGAATATTTCGCCAAGATTGACGCCAATCAAAGACGCCAAAACGAAGAAGTCAGTATTCTCGCAGCCTTCCGTAGGCGTGTCTTGATGGCGGAAAACGCCCTTCACAAAGCAGCAACATGCGTTCAGAAAATAGTACCAACAGCGCACCACTGTTCATCCCTCATGGGATTATGATCCACCCAGGTCCGAGGCAAGCAGCTACGTGCGTTCATCAGGCAGCTTCTCAACAAGAAAAATAAGAAGGGCAAAGGTGGCAAAAAGAGTGGGAAAAAGAAGAAATGACGTGTTTCAACTTTTTCCAATCGACAAGACCCCTTTGTTGCTACTGTATTATTGCCCATGGCCCTGGCATCGACCTTCGCGGGAGGGGGGGGCTGGGGCTGTGCACGTTATGGCGGACGCGCAAGAGCCAATCTCGTACACGCAGCGCGGCACAATTGCGAAGGGCGATCTAGTGCTTGCGCCTGTTGAGCTGCTTCCAGCGGAATGGCGTTCTTGGCGCGGAATCTCCACGACGCTAGAGTACGTGCGCAGAGCTGCGACAGTGAGCCCCCCCAGCCGCTCTCCGAAGAGGGGGGGAGTGGGGGCAGTTAGGAATTCAGAAAGGTTTTGCGAGTATGAGGCCCTTAAAACTCAAATAGGCCGGGGACAGTCTAAGTGGGGGGTGTGGAGGAATTACTATAGCTTAGTGGCTCGCTGCCACCTTAGTTATTGGCTATTTCTTATTGGCCCTTCTTGGATATTGTATCTTAGTATCTTTCTCTCTTCTCTCTCTCTCCTTGTTGCTTTCCTGGTACGTCGGTGTGGTGGCGAAGCACGACAAGTACGCCAGGCTAGACTCCAAACGGCACCACTGGCAGAGCGACCCCGAGCAGTGTGAGAAACAAAATCCCCCCAACAATTACCACCGACTTATATCTTCAACTTAGAACATCAAAAAAGTACATTGTATGGCAACTTGAAGATATGCCACACGCTTGCCGACCCGAACCAGCGACCCGCGCTCCCAGACTGCCTTGGTTAATACGATTAACGCGAAAATTTGCTTCGTTATATTCGGCGCGGCCATCTCCCCCTCAAAGCAAGCGCGGAGGCGAAAGGATGAAGCGAGGCTGGGTGGCGTTCTGTCTGTCCTTCTCTTCCTTCTCTTCCGCGATTAGCTTTGCAAGATCATCGGCGGACTCAGTTTTACCGCCGTCAGTAGGCATCTCTCTCAAAGCAAGCGCGGAGGCGAAAGCGAAAAGAAAAGCGCGCGAAGCGAATAAAGAGAAGAGAAAAGGATGAAGCGAGGCTTCACAGGGGGCCGAGCGTCGGCCCACACCTAGAAAGTTAGGATAGGCTCTGACCACGGTCGACTCGGACCCCCCCCAGAAGTACGAAACAATTGCTAACGATACCGGGTGGTCCCGGGGGCGGTCACGACGCGTCCGCCCCAGTCCGGGGACGTCCGCGAGGGACGGCGTCGGCCAGGGGCTCGGATGGGACGGCGTCGGTGGTGTGGCGCGCGCGCGCGAAACGACGCCCGCGGGCGAAACGCGCGCGAAAAGCGGACTCAGTGCGCCGCCGCGGTCGTGATCGCGCGCTCGGCGGCCGAGGTGATCGTGTACGTCGCGCGTGGCGCGACGGCGGTGGTGCCGCCGACGACGGGCTGGTCCTCGCGGCCGTCGCCCGAGTCGAGCTTTCGGAGAACGCTCCTGCCGTTCGCGCGGTAGATGCGGACGGTGAAGCGGCGCGTGTCCGCGCCCGTGCGGTCGAAGAGGCGCACCAGGACGACGGGGTCCCCGGGGCGGTACTCCTCGTTGTCGTGCGTCCGCGTCGCGCGGTCGTCCGCGACGACGTAGCCCTTCCCGCCGCTCCCGCGCTGCTCCATGACGCGCGCGAGCAAAAAGGCGTGCGTGCTGCCGCCGCCCTCGCGCTGCGGGCGCCAGTAGTCGCCCGTCTCCAGCGCCACGAAGTCGCCGACGTTCAGCGACTCCGCGAGCGTCCACCGACGGCCCCCAACTAAGGGCTGCCCCGCGGCGGCAACGACGACGGGCTGCCCGTAGAACCGGCCACGTTCGCGGCGCACCTTCGGCTGTGCGCGAAGAAGTAGAGAGTGCGCGCCATGGTCCAAAACCCATGATCAGCAGACCATGCAAACGACGCTATCGACATTGATGTCGATTTCGAGCGGCTGTATCTGGGCTGAAATGCGCCAATTGCGCATTTCAGGCGAGGCGCTGATTGGCTACGCAATGGTTCCAGCGCTTCGCTCCGCTGGAGGCGGCCAGGACCGTCCCCCGCGGGCGCGCCCCCGCGCCACCCACGTCCCAGGGGGGCCTGGGACACGTCCGGCCAGGCGCCGGGGCCGAAGACGTCAACCCTGAATTAACCGGAGTTTGCAGGGGGAGTCGACCGCGACCCTAGCCGATAGTTGTGGCTGAGGAAGGTTAAAATGCAACAATCTTGGCGCAAGCCCGAGCCGAGATATAAGCTGAGGAATGTTAAAAATCGATGAAATGGCCATACAAACCACAACTTTGGAGGTCTCGTTCTCGGCCCCATGGCCACCGATTCCTTTGGTTCTTGTTGCATCTGAAAGAGCTCAATGTCGTCTTGCGCGCTGGGCCATTAACTCCGAATCTTGAACCGCCTTGAAAAGTTGCATTTCAACGTTCCTCAGCCACAGTTTACTAGCTTACTAGTACTATACATGTAGCTCCATTACTCATTCTAACCCTCGGACGCTAAATTGAATCGCGTTGAAGCACCTCCTGCGCAAGTATGGGCTGCGACCGGGGCCCCGGGGGCGGGTCTGGAAATCTTCGTAGTGCCGTCTAATCGCGCAGTGAGGCTCAGCGTCTGCGAAAACGTGCGCGCGTCGTGTTAGACGGTACTAAGAAGGCGACTTCACCTCGGTCGACGGTCGTTTCGTGTGGTTTATGTACGAATTCGCGCCCTTCCTGGTGGAATTAAGATGCTATTTACGCACATCCGTTGCCCTTGATTGTGGGTTCGAATTTCCACGCGCGCGTGACGACGACGGCGGCGGCGGCGGCGGCGGCGGCGGCGGCGGCGGCGACGACGACGACGACGACGACGACGACGACGACGACCGACCAACCCAGCCCTACTGAAGGGAATCGACTGGGGCGATGATATACGATCTCCGATGCTGCGAGAGGTCGACAGACATAAAAAAGGGGTCGAGGGGATCAAACGCGCCCCATCCCAGCCCCCGAAGGACCGTTTGAGTCACCATGCGATTGGCAGCACTTCGCGTCTGCGCATGTGCTTCAGGCTCACACTAGCGGAGCACGAAGCTGCTGTGATCGTTGCATAATTCCGCTTTATCGCGCGGCTGTGGGCTGATAACGACGCTCGAACCATAGCTTCGTCTTAAAAGGTTTTCGTTCCGTCCGAGGGTCAGAATGAGCAGGCGCGCAGTGACGAGATCGAGCGAGAGTGGACTTTTATACAAAAGTGAACTTTTGATTTATTTCGGCCGGCCTTTGATTAATTTCGCCGGGGCTCGAGCTGGGTGCGTCC